CATAATTGTAGTGAAGTCTATACTCACAGGATGGTCGTCGTGACGCGATACATTTCTTGATATTAGTATGGAAAAAAATAAAAAAAAAAGATGGCTCGATTTTTGTATTTCTACATACAGCAGTATGGACCAGACGCCGACTGTATATGGAAGTCGTACGAGTGTCGACTCAGTTGTGCTGTCACAGCATCTTCCACGCACTTCTGCCAGTGCTGGTTTGTCGATTGGAGTCTTGTAGGTCGAGATACAGCAGTGAGATTCTCGGGTTGTGGAGGCAAAAGTGAACCAGCGCAAAAAATTGCATGCATAGCTCGATTACTGCTGTGCTTTTGCAACAGCAGTATGGACTAGACGCCGAACGACGTCCGCGTAATACCGCAATGACCTAACTGGATGGGATACTTCCTGCCACGGCGAACCATAGTACAGTGCGATGCAAACGTCCGTTCGTGTGTGGCGCGGCTGCCACATGTGTCGACGACAGTTACACATAGAGCTCTCGCCATGTTGTCGTTACCGCGCAGGAGGACCCCTCGGAGATCTTCCACATGGTGCTACAACGACAGCAGTACTAATGTACATTGATGTCGTAGGAGAGTGGAGTTGTGCTGTCACGGCATCTTCCACGCACTCTCCTACCGGTGCTTGCGTCGATTGGAGTCTTATAGGCCGAAGTACAAGAGTGGGTTGGGTTCCGGGTTGTGGAAGCAAACCTGCCTGCAACAACAGAGAAGGCGGTGTTCTATTTTTACTAGAGTGTCCCGCTCGCCTTTTTTTTTTTTGCGACGTGTGGTTGCATATTTCTTTGCCACTGCCGAAAAAGACCGCTGGATCTTTACGCAGTCCACCTTTCGCATTTATCATTTTACACCGAACGACGCAGGACGGGTCGACCTTCATCATTGTTGTTGTTGTTGTTGTCTTCACATGAAAAACCGTTCCGATCTCTCTCTACCCAGTAACTTCAGATGTCCGCTTACTTGTGGATTACCTGTTGGAAATTGTGGGAATCCCTTCATTCCGAGAGAGCCACAGGTCGGCATCAGGCCTTTTCTTTTTTTTGTATGCACTTTTCTTAGATGCACTTTTCTTCCTGTGAAGTTTTGACGTTGCGCTTGCCATCGTCGCTGAAGTGTTTGTGGCTTCAAACCTTCTCAGCCGACCTTCAAACTTCTTGCTTGTTGATGGTAACTTCTCCGCGCATGAGTCATATGCAGTTATGACCTACCTGCGCTTTGACTTTCACGATGGGTATTTTACCTCTTTGTCTTGCATTGGTGAGTACCTGCGTTATACGGAAGGATCGTTCCACTACGCAAACGTCGACGTCTCCGGTTTTTTTTTTGTTCCCTCCGCACTCCTTCCTTGCGGCGGTTTTCACACCGACTTCGAACGTGGGGTGCAATTTCCTCTCTTCGTACCTTCCTCGTCGGCCTTCTCCATCGGTATGTACATCATGTATACCTCGATTTTTCGGATTTTCGATTCCGATTGAGACAAGACTACGGACTGACATTTCCCTTTCACCTCCGACGAGACCGCGCGCTCGTCGAGTGCCGAAATTCTTCACCACTTCCTTGCCTCTCCCAACACCGCCCCTTCTTCCCGCCCCAACAAATCTTCTCCCCTTCTTCTTCTTCTTCTTTCCTTCCTCCCGGACACTCACCACCATCCGTCCTGGATGTTGGCCCCCAGCCCCATTGGGGGGCGGGGGGCCAATCCTTAACCCTAGTACGATTTGTACGTAGCCAATAACGTAGCCAATAAGAAATAAATCGTCCACGTACATATCGGGCAGTCGTGTGATAACATTGTTAAGTGTTGTAGCACGATTCAGGACGATTGAAAAAAGTTCGGGGGACAGTAGTCACACGGCCTTCTACAGAGGGAATATATTACCATGCTTGATGAAAGCTTCCGGAAAGTGGTGGAAGCTACAGTAGTGACTAGTGACCATTGCTTCTAGGTGGAAGCTCAGTGGAAGTACCTCCATCAGGTTCGAGCAAGCAGCGCTGGAGGGTCCGCAACGACCGTGGAAGCTTCCATGCAAGCTTCCACCATGTCCACAAACATCTGACACCGGCTGAAAAGGGCGTTGAAGTCACTTAAGCAATCCTTTAGAACGCGACATGGGTTTAGGACAAGAGGAACAACGGCACTGTGTATATTCAAAATCAGACGAGACAAGGACCAACAAAAGTAGTCGTGTTGCGCCCACGCATGGTTATCGGGACAGCTGGCTAGGGGCAGTCGGACGCGGTGCAGGGCAGGAACTAACTATTCCCAGGAGACCGACAACTCAGCACTTCCCAAAAATCATCAACACCATCGCGCACTGTCGTAGCAGTCACGGCCAAAGGCAACGATCCATCAGCAGCGGGGCGCTCCACCTTCCCCAACATCAGGGGACACTACAGGCGGGTATCCAAGCTGGCTTCTCCGCTTGTCCTTGTCCCTCGTCCTTCGTTTCCAGCCTATCTCCAGTCAGCTCTTCGGGCGCCATCTTGTGGTTGGGTTCACACCCACCCCCGTCCCGTTCCCGCCGCCGAGTTCCTTGTTGGCTCTTCCAGTAAACCATCAATCTTTCCTTTACCATCTCATTTCCGTTGATCATTCTTGACCCTCGACCGAACAAGTGCGGGTTGTGCAAAGAGTAGGTGAGCGCAAGGGGCGCAGGTAAAAGGTCGCTGCGCAGAAACTGCAACTCCTACCAAGAGCACTAATAGAGGGTATCCAAGGGTGTATCACGAAACTTCTTCCTTCCTCATGATGCACATCCTCTGTCCTGACAGTGCATATCGATGCAGTAACTTTAATTCCAGACAGAGCAAGCACCGCCACATCCGAGCGGATGACAAAATTTTGATCGACTTTGTTTTTCTCCAAATTTCATTGAAGTGGGCACCATAGTTGAAGATAGCCTGATTACTGGTATCTTACTCCCAAGGACTTCTCTGATCACGGCTGCCCCAGCATTTCGGCACCATTCGCGCACGAAGAGAGTTTCCAAGTCGACGCGGCATGCTGACCACAGACACGTTGAGGAGGCGAGCACAACGATGAAAAAATCGCCACCGTGTCGCAAACGGTACGGAACCGCTTTGGCTTGGGCTGCACGTCTCTTGGACTGCAATAACAGCCCGGGGGTAGCCCCGGCCTCAACTGAGGTCCCTTTCCGTTTTGCCAGCGGGCTCACGAAAGGAAGGCCCATCTCACGAGCAAAGTCTCCAAAATGTGTGCCAGAGCCATGAATACATTAACGAAGTTGGCTTGGGCTGCACTTTCCCTTTGAGTGTCACCATCTAAATCGCTCGTGTCCGAACCGTTCGTTCACTTTTCCCGCTCCATTTTTGGTTTTGCTAGGTGTATGTGTGGAGGGAGGGAGAAGAGCAGTTTCTGCAACGGGCGATTTGTCGGTGGCGGCATAGAGCTCCTCAGACTGCGGACGCCTCAAGGACGCCGGAAGGAGCGGGGCACGGGGGAGAATGGCCGGCAACCGAGTGATGCTACGGTAGGGGGGTCACCTCATCCTACACTTTCGGGTACGGAGACGCGTTATACTTAAAACCTGTTGGTTGCAATGTTTCGATGTAGAATCGCCGCAACAGGACTACAGCACATGCTGTGTACCACAAGAGTAGTATGTCGCCCCAAACGAGCCCCCCCCCTACCTACCGTCGCATCTGCTACCCCGACGGCGAAAGGGCGAATTCGCCATTCAAAACCAAAATGGGCATGTTGTCTCCATGATGACGGGTTTACGACGAAGCGCACAACATCGTTGTCAAGGCGTCGCCTGCACAACTCAAGGAAAGGTAGAGGTTCATGGGGTCTAACAGCCACCGCCCTGAACGCACACACACGTGGCTACATTGCGGAGTTAACACACCCGGGTGTGCAATGTGTTTTGCCGCGTTGTGCGCTGAGGACGCAAGGAAGAGAGGACAAAGAGAGAATCTTCTTCTTCACGTCGTCGACCGATTCATGGATTATCCCACGGCGAATAAGTGCTCCATTAACATTTGCCGCATGTGCATACACATATGTGCTTAACATCGAATCCATCACGGATACCTGCATGCCCATGGGCGGCCCATGAAGTGCCCACCGTGGGCACTTCAACCAAGAACTTTGCCACCGGCACATCAACCTAGAACTTAGCCTCCAGCGCCAACCTAGCACGTATCGCCTGGGCTTGGGGTTAGGGTTAGGGTTAGCGTTAGGGTTATTAGCCGCTATAGTGCCCGTTCGAACGCGGATAATCTATCTATTGCTTAGGAGTACACTGATTCGGTTGAAGGGCTCTTATTGGCCGCCCATGGGCTTCCGCCCATGGGCATGCCCATGGGTCGCCCACGGGTCACCCATGGATCACCCATGGGAATCCCATGGGTCGTTTGCGAAAACTGTAGAAATTGTGGGAGACCCCCGACGCTAGACGTTGGTTACTGGATGCTGATTTGCGCAGGTTAAGTCACGTCAGGTCCCCGAAAAATGAGAGACGACGTGTCTTGGTAGGGCTCCCCATGGCCCTTGCGCTATTGGAGGTAGCTGTCCTGTCGTCCGTACCTAAGTAAGATGGGCTGTGGCACTTGTACGCGCAGTCTTTGGAGCTGTTGTTTTTCATGAAGGGAACACAACAGTAGTATCACGTCCGTATAAGTAACGACCCTAATGGGGGAATTTCGGGAATGTGTGTATGTCGACAATTTTCACCAAAACGGGCGTGCCTAACCATGAGATATCGGGGGAAGGTATGCGTACGTCCTTGACAAGAGTACCAGACCAACCGTCACGAGGTACTTGGTTGCTTGGACCCGAGATAATACCGAGATCAGTCCAGTGAAATGATGGCATTGATTGAAAACCAAACGACTAAAACCGAAAGACTGTCTCTTTTCGTCCAGGTTTTGAAGAAACACAACGTCTTGGAGAACGCGAGCGACGAGACGACTACGGCCAAGTTCGCTGCACACGACGATGCTATGTGCTCAATAAAAAAAGAAAAACTTAGTCGCTTCAGCCCTTCAGACACTTGTGATGGCTATATTCATTGAGAACACCCAGTCATGTGCGGTCGGTCACCTCGCCCAGTGGCTCATGTTCTTCGACCTGCGCTGCGTGGCAAGCAGTTGGCTGTTGAGAGGGATCGGTCCACCAGTGGGCTTGTTGATAATGACGAAACGTTGACATTTCAGATGACTCCCTCCTGGATCTCAAATCCCATCGCCCAGGTACAATCGTTGAGCGCATGAAAGCCAGCCCATCGCCACCGAAAACAAAGATCTGTCGGTACAGGCTGGCCCATCTACACCGACCTAAACCAACGATTAATGAATTTTCCTGGCGACTCTTTACGGACCTCTCACAACTCAACTGCCTGGGTGTTGGGGGCCCACAACACCCATGGGGTACCACAACAAATTCGTGAAAAATGTAAGACTTCCCTTCCCTGACTTTCCAAACACCAATGCCGCAGGTTGAATCCACAACATCTGTCGGCACTACAAGAACTTTACTGTAATTTCTACCGGTTCACATGGCTCTCCAACAGCAGTGCCCTGTTGTTGCGCCATGTGGCAAGATCCAAGTTGTCGAGGCTGAGATTCTTCTCCCCAATCGCAATAGCTCGAAGGTAGAGAAGGTCTGCTTCCTCGTACTCGCCCTGGAAGGGGAGGAGAAAGCACAACACGGGTGGAACCAAGGCAACCGGGTGAAATGCCCAACAGCCACTCGGTCGTTGAGCAATGGATTCACACCAAGCCAAATATTTCCGAGCATAACCACGTTCCACACATAACAACTCTAAAAGAAAAACTGAACATTTTGACGGCTCCAAACATCTGCTTCAACCGCGTCAGGCATCCTCACGAAACCGCGAGAAATACAAAACAACCATGGCTTTCACCTGTTTCTTTAACAGCAGCGCCAAGTTGTTGAGACGTGGGGCAAGATCTAGGTGATCGGGGCCAAGCGTCTTCTCGCCAATCTCAATAGCTCGACGATACAGAGAGCGTGCCTCATCGTACTCGCCCTGTGGAGCACGCAGCGGGGTGGCGTGAGGCATCGGGACCCTCCAAAAGTTTGGAATATTCAACAAATGACGGTGAGAACACGTTCTCCTGGAAAACCCTCATGTTTCTCACCTGCAGCTCCAACAAAGCCGCTCGGTTGTTTAGTCCTGTGGCCACTTGGGGGTGCTCACTCCCCAACGATTTTTCCCAAATGGCAAGCGCACGCTTGTTTAGAGGATCGGCTTGCTCACAGATGTCCTGATACGTGATGACAGGAGAATGAGCGGGACGAAGGCTAACAATAGTGAGGCAAACGTCAGGCGGCAGGGCTCCTCAAGCTGGGACCAAATATTCAATGGTGCTCGGAGAATATATGCTTTACAACTCCGCTCGGAAATGTGGCAAGATCTGGATAGCCTGGGAAGCGTTTTCGTACCAATTTCAAAGCGTCGAGGGTGCAGAGGGTGTGCCTGGTCGTTATTGCTCTAACAAGCAGCAAAGAAGTGGTATGAGGCAGCGATCCCACCAAGAGCTTTTCAGTGTTCTACAAATGGCGGCCGTGAGAAGCTTCCTGTCTTAGTCTGATGGTGCTCAACTGGCACTCCGACAACCCCGCCCAGTTGTTGAGCAATCCAAGCAAACCAGCAGCAGCTTCTAAGAACTTTGAACCTTCTACACGGAAAATTCTCACGTGCTGCTTTAACGCAACATCATTCACAGGGTAACATGAGAAACTTCCTTGGTGCTTCTGACAGATCTCGCCTTCTTGACCGCTGCCAGGTTGTTGAGCGCTGCGGCCAAGCTCGGGTGCTCAGGGTCGAGATTCTTCTCTTGTTCCATACACCGCTCGCAGAGTTGCTGAGCTTCAGCGAGTTTGCCCTGGAAGGGAAGTGCAAAGCACGAAACGGGTGTAGTGAACGCGTTGTACTACGCTGCGGCAAAACAAAAGGCCAACAACCGCGCCCTGTTGTCGAGCCTCGTGGCAAGATCTGGGTGGTTTCCTTGGAAAATTTAGATGCGATCCCACCTGCTTGAGCTCTGCCAGGTTGTTGAGCGTTGCGGCCAAGCTCGGGTGTTCAGGGCCGAGGACCTCCTCCTCTATTGCCATGCACCGCTCGTAGAGTTGCTCAGCTTCAGTGTACTTGCCCTGAAGGGTAAGGGGCAAGCACGAAACGGGCGTAGCCAAGACATTGTACTGCACTGCGGGTAGAACAACAGGCCAACATGGGTGCTCTGTTGGCGAGCCTCGTGGCACGATCTGGATGGTTAACGCCCAGTGTCTTCTCACCGATTTCAATCCGTCGAAGGTTTTGAATGCCTGCCTCATCGTACTTGCCTTGTGTGAGGCAACCGGACCCAAACGAACTACATTTTTTTTTTTTGTCTTCAGTTCAAATCAGCGCTCACAGCACTAGTGCTGTTTACTCGAACCCGTGGTCACACAGGAGAGCCCCTCTCTACCCTCCCCTCCTGGTACTTGGCCTTCAATTTTTTAATGCGAGAAGAGTTCAGCATCTGTGTACACACGAACTATAATAGCGCTATCCACTAGGTAGGCCAGGAGCGGAAGCGAGAGAAAACCTCACTTTGCAAGAAAAGCTCGCTTACGCCGGGATTCGAACCCCTGACCTGCCCTCTAGAAGGTTTCGAGGATACCAACTAGACCACCGGGGAGACCGGGATGCGACATGTAGTGAGTTTTGAACAATGAGCGGCTGAGATAATCCCCTTGAACAATCAAACACCTCTCACCTGGCTCTCCAACAACCCTGCCCTGTTGTTGAGCCTTACGGCAAGACTTGGGTGGTTGGGACCCAGTGTCCTCTCTCCAATCTTAATACTTTCAAGGTACATAGGGTCTGCCTCTTCGAACTTGCCCTGTGCAACAAGCAGCGGGGTGGGCGTGGTGCAAGGAAGTTTCATCAAGAGCTTTGAAATATCAATAGTCAACAATGGCCGCAGTGAGAAATTGCTGAAAATATCTGATGGCTCCCACCTGGATCCCCAACAACCCCGCTCGGTTGTTGAGCACTGAAGCATAGTTGGGATGTTCTGTGCCTGCGGTTGCACCCAGATCTCGTAGGACATGCACGAAGAGAGCGTCCGCGTCTTCGTACTTGCCCTGGGAGGGAAGGAAAAAAGCACGAAGCAGGTCGAAGAAGCAACTTCAGTATATTGCGGAGGAGTAATTGCTCAACAACCCCGCTCGGTTGTTGAGACTCTTGGCATGTTCGGATGATCCCGCCCCAAGGATTTCTCAAAGCCTCGTGCATCGTCATGTGCAACGAGTCAGCTTCGGCGTACTTCCCCTGAGAGGGAAGACGCGAACAACAAACGGGCAAATCCAAGGTTATTGTCCCGCACTCCGGAGGGTCACACTCAACGACGCTTGCTGGTTGAGTCATTCCCTAACTCCCTTTCCCAAATACCGATCGCACGCTTGCTATGTAGGGGCTCGACTTGTTCGTACTTGCCGTGACAGGTGGCGAGAGAAACAAAAGTGATAGAGGCTAAGATGAAGAACGTCGCGAGAACAAATAGTGCGCAAACTTCTGAAAACCAATCTGAAATTGAGAGATTTGCAATGTTGCGCTCTCGGCTAGTCTACGAAATTTTGCAACTCTGAAGCCAACATTGGTTTGCTGATTCGCTCTCAGCGAATGAAAATGATGCGGGCTGCGTGGCATGCGGGACACGGCGAACGACACAGAGTTGGCTGTAGGCTATGAGCACGTGCGCCTTAGGCTGTTCATTACTAGATGAAAAAGGGTATATGCAAGACGCATGTATGTGTCATTTTGCACATGTGGTGCAGGCCTGTGTGGTACTTGGCATACGCGCGCGTAAATAACGTTGCAATAAATGAGCGTAACGCGCCCAAGTAAGGCAGTAGTGGGTTGAAAAAAATCAGCCGCATTAGTCTAACGTGCGTGCGCGCCAGCAATATAGCACCTGGCGCGTCAAATCGCACGCGGGCCAATATTGTATCTGCGATAGATACTCAAGGCACAAGACCCGCGGAAACAACGTCGAGAAAAAACAAAAACAATACAATCCGTGCGTTTCCCTCACGCCTTCGCGTGACACCGACTGCACCCGTCCACCCTCAGCACAAGGTAAGTGCATACAGTCTCCTGGTACCTGTCTTTGACAAAAAAATGCAAAATCAATTCAAACTGACAACAATTTACCACACGACAACAACAACAACAACTGGCCGTCCTCCGTTGTACAGCATCGTCAAAGGCTCTCCTCATTGCATCAAACCCCGCATGCTCGCCGAAAGAAAAAAATGTGTGGCAATCCTCCTCTATGACCCCGGCTAGCACGTCAAAGCTGAATAAAAGGTGTGAAACCGACTGTCCAGAAACGCGTCACTCAACGTCGGCGGAAGCTATGATTGTTTTATTTCAACACAACCGGGGCGTCACTCAACGTATGCGGAACTAATGATTGTTTCTCACAACACCATCGGACACCCTGCAAACACGCCTTGAAACGAGATATCTGCTGTTCTGGACTTGTTATTTATTGTTTAGGTCCTTCAGGCTTGTGGACCCCAAACGGTATCCGCCTGCACGAAATGAAACAGCATACCTGTTGGGCCAAAACTACACCGAGGTCGCATGCTGCCGAAGCTTCAACCAGCAATTCTTGTCTCCATTGTTGGTTCTCCTGGTCTTCAATGCCCCGTCGCGCAGCTTCCGCCCGACTAAGTCTCTGGCAAAGCACATGGATCCACCCATCGGCGTCAACAACATGAGGTTAGCTACGCGTGAGAAACAGGACTCCAGGGAGGAAATTGTTGGTAGCTTTAGTACGGCGTCGGGAACGACCACGTATGTAGCGAAAACGCACCAACGGCATCGATATCTTCTACACAGAATCATACCTCCTTGTAGCCCTCTTCGGCTTGAACGTATTGCGCTGCGTCGGCCAGCAAGTCCGGTAAATAGAACCGAGTGCGACGCCAATTTTGTTGAGCAAGGCGGACCATCTCTTCTGTGATCCCGGGGGACCACATCTTGAACAGGTGGTCCGCATCCATTTCCGTGGATACCTTGAGCTCCCGCGCCCACTCGTACACCTCATGCTGGCCGTCCTTCAACTTGAAGAAGCTTCCCAATTGCAATTGGATCTCACAAAGATGGCCGCTCACAACGGTGTTCACCTTAACGTCCCGATACCCGCTAGGCTTCCAGCCAGAGTTGAACCCATTGCGCACCCGTTTCACATGGTGTGGCTGCACGGTAGAATATTCACAGTAGCGGAGGTAGGAGCGTGATGTTGAGGTATACCTTCGGTGAACGAGAGCATTCGCAAAGGCATCACAACAACAACATCTTCGGTTGCAATCGTACCAACCTCTTAAACTTTCGTCTGTGTCTAGATGTTGAACCTGATAAGCTGGTGTCCACGGTGGGCTCTCCTGTCTTTCTTGCTTTCTCCTACTTCGGGATTATTATGTAGGACTAATTTTTCTCTGTCGTTGCCGTTTTGTCGCGATTGGAGACATACGGGTCTCCATGTCATCGTGGATGCGGTGGGCTATGACCATGAAACCCATCGCTTAGGTGTGCAATCAGTGGGACTTCAGGGCGTTTTGCAAGTCAGAAGCGCATTTGCCCACCACACCAGGGAACGAACCCATGCCGAATTTGCAACAGTTCAACTGTCGACCAAGGAAACGCTGTTCCGTTTGAGCGACCCATGCTTCAGCATCCACGGATTGTCTCGTAGTCGCAGACGCTTACGAAAAAGAGATTCACAGCCCATCACAAACATGAACTGAACGATGTTCCACGCTATCCCAACAACGTCACTCAACGAGTGGTCGATCGGGTTGCGCGGTAGATAAGAGGTGGCTCATCGCCGAATCCACCATCAAGGGAACTCCCGAGTATCATGTACTACGTTTTGTCACGACCACGTTGGCACAACTATCGCGACACCAATGCCCCAACACTTGCAACAAATTTTTGTAATTTTTGCCATCATCGTGTGCTCGTGGACGGCAAGGCGAGGTAGTCAAAAGCTCATCGTTGCAGAACAGGTTAACCTGCGAGATCCGATCACCAGCCCACGAACCGCGTCGTTGGCGAAAGGAACGGTTCCCGGATATAATTTCGTTCGGTAAAATGTTCTGCAGCAGAAACACACAGATGCTTGCCCAAAGACAACCAACTGGCAGCTTTCGGGCAGCGTTGTTGGAAAATACCACACTCTTCAAAGGCGTCCGCACCTCGACGCTCTCCATGAGGTCCTTGCACGCAAGCTCGAGATCCTCAGGTGTGTCGCAGATCACGGACACCCGAGCCATGTCTGCCAATCTTCGGACGTCCCCACCATAGGACTTTGTGGCCTTGCGCCTTGTGCTTTCGAGTGACTTGACTTCGGCATAAAGACCCGTGCGTCCCTGGTGGCCATTCACCAACTCCCGTACAAGCTTATCCAGTTGCACCTTTGCGCGGAGAGCGCCTTCACGGTAGAAGTCCAGTTGTTTCCCAAGATTCTCGTCCGCATCGCAACCCTGCGGCTCCAACCCTTCGGGCTGAAAGAGGCTGGACTTTGGATTGAGTTCTTCTATCCTGTGAAGACATTCCAACCCCCCATCCATGTTCAGTTCATAATACAAACTGTCATACGCCCGTTCATACTTCTTCACGGTCTTGACTTGAAGGAATTTAAGCAGATTGACCTTGGCGTCTCGTTCAAGAGACAGATCACTGCCTTCCAGCTCGATCTCCATCTGGAGGAGCTCGTTAATGTCGAGTTCATCGTCCATCTGCAGGTCAGCATTCCAGAGGGCGGGATGAAGCCCAAGATGTCAGAGCGTCAGAAAGGTGCAAGTTGCTGTTGCACGAATTGACACCAATATCAACGGAAGTACCCGTTACCGCCAGCCTCAACGAACTAACGCCATTGAGTTCTCATCCTACAAACCTACATCGTAGCGTGCGGTGCATGAACTACACTCCGCTCAAACGCCAGCAAATGTCTTGAGCCCGTAGAAAACAACAGTGCCGCTAAGTCTTACCGGGCGGTTGCGTAACTGACTATGTTGTTCTGCACTATTTGCGCCGCCGCTAACTGTTGGATATTGATTTGGATCGATTTGACCTCTTGCAGTCATGACGAGGCATGTGACCGGGACACAAATTTCGAGCGAATGCCAATGAAGCTCGCTGATCGTCATTGTTGTGAGGTAGGCAGAATCGGATAGCCAAGTTTCTTCTACTGACCGTTCGGTTGTTGAAATAGAAAAACACACAAGTAAATTCCATGCAAAGCAGAAGTTAAGCAGCGGTTGGAGAAGTTACAAAAATCTGGAAGGTATGAATCTGTGTGTGGAGGCAAAGTTTCAGTTGGAGAAGGAAGTAGACATGTGTGACGGTGAGAAGGAGAAGATGAACGTTGGTGGGTGAAAAGGAAAACACAGTCTTGGGATGGGACATGGATGGGCAGAGGATAGTACGCCAAAGGGAAGGGGAAAATGATATGACCCATAAAAAGAAGTAAATAATCAGGAACGGCAATGGGGGTGACCGAATGGGCCGAAAGTATGATGAAAACACCTAGCGCACGACGTAAGAGAGGCACAGAAGAGTGCGGAGTAGAAGGAACAACAAGTGGCAAGGACACGTGTAGATATCGGGAGTGAGGAAAACGGTTGAAGGGTGGAAAGGAGGCCACATATGCAAAGAAGGAGGAACGACGAAACAATGGATACATGCCGCCGTGGACATAGGAGGAGGAACACGTGAGTCGAATACAACATCACGGAAGAGGAGGTGGCAACTTAGAGAGGAAGAATAGGAAAGTTGAAGGAAGAAGGCCAAGGTAGCAGAATGGAAGAGCTTTGAAGGAAGAAGGCGGATAACGAAATCACATGATGTGTGCTGGATTTGGGTAGTGAAGAGATGCAGGGTTGTTGGGGTGTCGGTAGAGTGGAGTGTGTCGTGAGGTGTAGTAGCCAAGGACGATGGATGGCCCAGCGGGGTCTACCGGAAATAGAGATAAATTGGTTGGCTGCAATCAGGCGCCACGTGGACATGAAGAAAAGGAAGGCAGGAACATAGGTGGAAGACGTAGCATCATGACAACACATCGTGAAAGGCACGGCCTACCGACACATCGCGTGTGCTCTAATTGTTCCTCCTTGAGTGTAGTTGAAGTTTGATGCCATCTAGGGCTTGTTTACGTCCCAAACCATGGAGATTCAGACTTTGCCAAAAATTGCACCGCCACAGCAGCGGCACGAGAAACAGAGTAGCAACATTCGTCACACGAGTACTCCCCCACAACACACCTACACGGCGACAGACTTCGATGTTGACCATCAAATTGTTAATTCTCTAGCGGTTCGTCGCTTTATTTTGCCGAAACGTCCTCCAAAGCGCCAATACTTCGTGTGGTTGGGTTGGTCTCGCGCGTGTGTGCGTGCGCGGAGACCGCAAGCTGCCGACCTACACCCCCCCGTAGCTCAGCCCCGGTGTCACGACCAATGAACACGAGATTTGAGGACAGCGTGTGCTGTCATGAAAGACGGACGATGGGGTGATTATTAGCGGCCTCGTCATTCGATTCCAAAAGTGTGTGATTCGGAGCTTTCACCTGAACCCATTGTAGCAGTGCTCAAGGGCAACCACAGGAGTGGGAGCTGCAGGTACACTAGTGGCGTTGGGAATGTCCTGTTCGTGTGTTGTTTCTCAAAAGACCAGTAACCAGACACGGGTATCCCCGGTGGTGTATCACCATTTTAGGGTACCAACTTTAACGCATGCACCCCCAGGCAGCCAGCTGATTCGCCGAACACCATCGACCCGCTTTTGGAGAAACCTCCATCGGGTACACCTGCCGCTGGCACCTCGACCCTCTGGTGTAACCGATACTGGTTACTCGTGTACTCGGAATTTGTCGAATTTGAACCCAGAAATGGTCTATAACCCTTGCGCCCGACGACTCTAAAACCCGCAGAAAAAAACGTGTACCGCGCATGCCCGCACAACACACCATGTACCGCACAACAACCGCAGCAGCAAGGTAGCTACACAAATACACACCACCAACGCTCGTTGTTGGCCCCCGCCTCCCGAGGATAACAATCTCCGACAGCCTCCTCCGTAGATCGCGGCGAAACCAAACGGCCGTGTCCTGTGCCTCGTTACCGTCTACTGTGGTAGGCAGGCCGTGCCCGTTTGTCTCTCTGTATTCTCTGTGCTTACGTATCAGCACCAAAGCGAGCTAGCTCGCGCGTCTAGCGAGTTCGACCCTCTGTGGGGGCCCACGAGTCAATAAGCGTTCGTGGTTTGCTTGTGGTGCTACTGCTGTGACTGCTGTGGGGTAGTTGTGCGGTACATGGGGTTGTTGTGTATGTCGCGCGCCGGCATTACCGTACCATATGACACAAGATAACACACACCCCGGCACAATATTCAAAGCTCGATGACGCCATGATGAAGAGGATGCATGAATGAAACAATACATTTTCGAAAAGCTCTCGGCGAGACAGCTTCAACGCCACCGTTTTCGGCGCTGTGACTCTTCCTGTTGCTGAGAAATCGAGATTCAAAAATCGGTCCGGGGGGTATGCTATCTTGTGTCATTTCCGGTATTTGACCACTTCTGGGTACAAAATCGAACCCTTCCGGGTACACCAGTAACCAGCATCGGTTACATGGGAGGGTCTCGAGATGCCGCTGGCGCCCCGGGGGTGCATGCGTGTTGCTTTCTAAGTGTACCCTAAAATTGTGATAGACCACTCGGGTAACCCGTTTCTGGCTACAGTTGGCCACAGCAGTACTTTTCCTAAAATGTGTGGTCGTTCGCACGTGCCCCAAAGTAAGACCACGCGGCAGGATGTTTGAGGGCCAAACACTATTATTTTCGCTCAGCAATTGTCAACCAGATTCGGAAGATATACCTACTGCTCTGGGGTGCAATTCTTGCAACAAGCACGGCTGGCTGGGCAACGATTGCCAAGCAAATGCGGAAGAACGTTTGCTGTGCGGGCGATTGATTTCTGCAAGCAAGCAGAGGCACAACAAACGTGATGCAAAATGTAGAACGGCATCCAGTGATGTGCGCGTCTAGTGCCCGATAGTACCCGCAGGGCAGTAGCAGGAGCGCGGCAACAATAGGCACGGAGCTCGTTCCACTCACTCACCACGTCAGACTGTGTCTCCTGGTGGTGTGCACGCTCCAAATAAATACAGCAGTACTGCTGTAAACAAACAGCGCACCTCTCGACCGGATCTCGCTTCTCTCTCTAGTTTTCGTTCGAGGCTCGCGTGGCAGCAGGTAGTAGCTGTGCCAGGCCCTGCAAGCGCTTCCTTTCGTAGAAAGAATACATAACCCTTTGCTGATGTCGGTGTCTCTCACACCACAACATATGCGTGATCATGCCCTTGACCAATCAAGGGTGGCTACGAGTCGCAGAATAAAGTTGTATGGGAGTACTGCTGTAAGCAACCTACATTGTCATTTGGAAGCAATCTCTTCCGCATTTCGGCTGCCTACAGTACTACAAAAAATGTAGTAGTTGTTGTAGTCCCTTTTCAAAAACCAGCTTTAGGTTCTTCAGCCTCCGACTCCTTCGCGAGAAGGGAGACCAAGGCACACTGCTGCGCGCCGTATGTCGCGCCCGTGACGCAGTGAGCGTGAGGTGGCGGCGCAACCGGCTGCTGTACACCAAAACAAGATGTCAGTTTCGGTTTCTTCGTCGGTTTCTCCGTCGGTTTTGTCGGGGAGTCGGGGAGTGCTGGTGCTGTTGCTGTTGCTGTGTGGTCTGTTTTAGAACAACCTCACGGCTACGATCCCAGTGCTTTCCTTTCGCGTAGAGGGAGACCGAGGCACAAAACGTGCTGCGCGCCATGTCTCACGCCCAGCGCGGCTGCGGCCATGGTGCGGTGACCCTGCGGAGGTGGCGGCGCAACCGGCTGCAGTACACAAAAAAAAAGTCCGGCGAAAAAAGTCAACATAGTTTGTGGGAGTGCTGCTACTGCAGGTGCTGCTGGGAGGTCTCTCATTACATGAATGCGTAGAACAACCTCACGGCTTACCAATCCTGCGCTCTCCGTTCGCGTAGAGGGAGACCGAGGCACGCAAGGTGCTGCGCGCCGTGTCTCGCGCCCAGAGTGGCCGCAGTTGTGGCGATAGGGTTAGGGTTAGGGTTAGGGGGGGGCCGCACCACGCCTGCTGTAGACTATCGAAAAATTACACTCCGCGTATGCATGCGTACGGTCGCACATTACTATCGCACATGACATAGCAACGAGGTCAACAGAGGGAGGCGACTCGACACACCATGGACGTCTACGATACTCCATGGGCATTGTTTCATAGAGCTCCATGGGTGTCCATGCCACATTCATTGTCCCCATGTAGTCTTTCATGGGCATTTAGTCTATTCATGGAGTTTCCATGAAACATTCAATATTAAAAAAAATGACGCTTGAGTGTAGTGTCTATACAGGTGACCTTGCTGCGCCTCGTCTCTCCGGCGTTGGGCTTAGTACACAAACAATAGGAACGTGATAAGGATGCGCGGGCTAGCATGTGCCTTGAGGTTTAGACTTGGGCAAGAAAAATAGGTGGTGTGGTGGGTGTGGGGCTCGATAATATGTGCTACCACTAAAATACATGTAGTCCAAATATCGGCGCTGACTCTATTCATCCTTTCCGTGCCGTCTCGCGCTCCTCGTTCTCAAGATCAAATTCTTCTCGGCGGGTGTTCTGCGTTGATGTACGGAGCGGGTTGTAAAATATACTTAGCCTGATCTACATTACATGTCTATCTATCTATCTATCTATCTATCTATCTATCTATCTATCTATCTGATCTATCTACAGTATCTACATCTATCTATCTCTCTATCCTTTGATGACCTGAGAATTCTTCCGAAAGTAGCAAGAGTCGGATTGCCTAACAGAACGAAGTACAACAGACAGTCATTGCAGCATCCTAACACCTTAGATTACTACTACCATAGTCAAGACATTTGCCTTTACACTTCCCTTAATTAACAACAACAACAACAACTTCCCGCACCAACAAAGTAGTCTGCTGTCCTCTGACGATGTGGCTTTTTTCCAGTCCAGGGTCTTCATTGCCCATCCAAAGAAAGCTGGAAAAAGCTTGAGCGCTCCATAGTATTCTGTGGATAGACTTACTCCATATGTAGCGCTCGTATGTTTCCTTTCCGGCATGCTCTCTGCGACCACGCTTGCGCGGTGAAGGCTTCGAAGATATCAACCACCCGCATACGTCGATCGGTACCCAGACCGCCGTTTGCCAAAATCTGCAAGGAAGGGGATGTTCGAAAGATATCAACCGCACTGATCTTGGTACGTGTAGACACGTATCTATGATAGCCACAGCGTGCCGACATTATCTTGATGGCTCCTGCTCTGGGTCCCGTAGTGTAATGAAAATGCATAGTTTATCGTCCGGAATGCTATGTGACGCGATCAAATTAAATGTGATACATTTGTGCGTGATACGCACGTGCTATGCATGGTGGGTCGATTCTGGAAAAAGCCAATCGACGGATGGACTACCCTTCGAATCGGGTCTCCTGAACATATTCATGGCCTAGACTATAGGCTCAGAGTGTTGATACGTCGTCACCGACGCGAAAAAGAGCCAACCATTCATATACATGCACCGCGACCACTTTTGGATTTTTTTATGTATGTTTTCACCAAGCTTTTTGTACAAGTAGGGCCTCAGAAAACCGGAACAGAATACATACATGTACAGCACAAACTTCGCACGAAGGAGGCGGAAGGTAAATCGAACGGTAAATGTAAACAAGAACGATTTCGAGCGATTTTACAACTTTGCGCCCGCCCCACATTGCCATTCACCCTCTGGCAAATCTCCCGTCCTTGAAAACACGACTTGATCATGTATCATCGCCGTTGGACCAACCGGTCGTGCTCTTCGTTCTCAGCTTCGCGGACGGCAGCTCGCACTGGGTTTCACCGTGGTGACGATGATCTCACGCGCGCTATGGGACGAATGTCTGTCAGGGCGACATCCAACATCAGGATCCCCCCTCTTTCTGCCTTTTCGTCTGGGGCCGTAGCTGTGGCTGGCAGCGCGGTCCGGGTTGGCGAATGCGTTCCTCCAGCGGAAGACATCCCGACCAACTTCCGGACTCCCACGGCTTACCTCAAGGTACTTGATGAAACGCCCTTTCTGACGTTTCGCGTATCGATGGTGGGTGACAGCAGAAAATATCATGAACAAAACCTAGCGTCCTGTGGTCAAGCTGCCTCTTTCTCTGGGCTAGCACCGGGTGTCACCGTTGGTAGCCACGTTGCGCCTGAGCTCGTGGATCTCCCACAGTTGTTACGATTTTTTCAATTCTGTCAACAAAGTCTCTCTTGCCCGAAGTTGGTCGAGGAATGTGCATTATTCTTCGCCGATGTACGTACCTGTAGGCACGCTATAACAAAACACGGGTGCATGTCAATGCCCAAATTTCGAACCTGAGTCTGGCGCAGGGCCTCCGAGGGCATTGTGCGATCGCCGGGCTACAGTACGCCTGGATGTCGAAAGAACTAGCCATTAGCCTGCTGAGAGAGGTCTTGTAGTTATCAATCGATGTCTGCTGCCGCCACGGCAAATTTCATTATTTCCAGAATACCATTATTTCAATAGAGCCGTTCCGATTCGACCTGCTGACACGGAATGGGCGTACCCTGACCATTCAACTTGTTTTTCACAAGAGAGGCATTCTATGAGAAGCAAATGTATGCAACTTGTTAGAGCACCGGCGGAGATGAATGGGCATTGTTATCGATCTTTCTACATAGGCCTATCTGGTACTCAACATTCGGCAACAGCAAGGAAAAGAGTTCGGCTACACATGATAGTGTATCCTGGACCCAATATCTGTCAATGTTCGTTCCTCCACCATGCCGGGGGATATTTTCGTGGGATATGTTTCCCACAACCAAGTCAACAAACCCATGCATCCACGATAAAAGTGAGTGGGCTGTCAAGAAACACGAAAGTTCTGTCAGAATGCAATCGGGAATGTTTCTACAGACTATGCAGAATACCTTGCAAAACGTTTTCACTCTTCAACAGAGGTGTAGCTTCTAGTCGCGAACCTTGTGAAAAAATGCATACCTTCTGGCGGAGTGGGTGTCCATTGTCAGGCAATACAATCCCTCGCCAAAATATGAAAACATGCTCTCCTTCCTGCCCACTGAACGATTTTATCCATGTTCAGGCGATGCAAGCCCACACTCAGAAAGAGTTCGAAGCTTCGGCTCGTCAAGGCGTCAGCAACGCGGATCGGCAGGGGGGTGGGTGGCTAGTGCTGACCTGTAGGCCAAACCCCCGTTGGCAAGACAGCCGTCTAAGCTACTACGTGCACGGCAAGTCCGAAAACGGAGGACTCGGCACGCGAGACACCGAGGAAGACGGCCACAACTTCAAGCAAGATCCCTGGTCTCGGCACCTGGTGGAGTTCGAAGACTCAAGCATAGCCTTAGTAGTCGCCTGCGGAGAAGGTGTAACTGACAACGAGGCGTTTCTGGCGATCACTCCCGGAACTGATGGTATTCCGGTCCGATCGGAGCACTTACACACGCGCGTCCGTTCTCTCGGATACGTCGGTTCATTTCTCCGTGAATACGGAAGCGCGGCAGAGCTTTTGCGCCGTGATGAGAGCGACAGCTTGCTCAACGCCGTGGCTGCACCCGGTCAGCAGTGCACGTTGCCTTCATCCTCGGGAGCGGGAACATTTCTTCCGCGAGGCCAAGTGCGTACTCTCGACACCTCCTCTGTCCCCCTGAACGCTACCCAGAAGGACGCCGTCTTGAGTCTCACTGGTGGGCTGGACCTCGTCGTTGGGCCTCCTGGTGAGAAGGACTCTACCATAGGGTCTCCAGCCTGCCGAGTTCAATTTTGGTCGAACACACAATCGTTTCTCTCTCTCTTCGCACATTCGTCTCTCATACGCCTTCTACTGTCTGACATGGTATATACTAAGCAATACCTGCGTAGAGAACGTCGATGTATTCACTCTCTGCATCCCCACGTGCATTCGCGAAAAATTTGATTGGTCGGTTGCGCCCGCGAAAGCATCTCGTTCACAGCCACCGTGCGTGTTTGGTGTATGCCTACGTTCTTCCCAGGTACCGGCAAGAGTACGACGATTTACCACATCAATGAATCACGCATTCGAGCCGAGGGTCGTGTGTTGATCACATCGATCAGGAACCAAGCCGTTGATGCCGTCACGGAAAAGGTTGATTCCTTCGGAGTTCTGGTGAGGGACCGTGTCAAACGCACAGAGAAACCAAAACCTATGTAGGACTCCATCGAGAAGTATACGTTGACTTGGAGCGTTGCGACACCGCCTATTCTGTGCAGCCCCACCCTTGGCTGAATGGTTTCCCTCCGACGCATTCACATCGGAATCCCTCCGTCTATTGTTCTCTCTGGCATAAACCAAATACATCGGGTGGGTGCCAAGCTCTGGCCATGAAATATTTCTGCCAGTCTGTGTGTGATTTTTTGTGTTTGCATATAGACTATTCCTGTCTCTGTTTTCGTTTGTTCACACTCTTGCCCGCGATCAGTGCATCTGTCTGTCGGTTTTTGGCTAGAGGGTACTATAGTATGAAGGCTTCGAGGGGAGTTTGATCCTCGAACTTACTTTCTTATCGACCTATTATCTTGTCTTTGAGTAGGTTTCGTACCCAAGACCTCCAGTTGGTTCGGGTGTTAGTTGTGAGTCTGCTACCGCTCGTGCTTGAGCAGGTTATATATGAGGATTGATTGCCAAACCCGATGGTTCATATCACTGAAATTGCTTCCCTTCAGTCAGTGAAACTTGGCGATCCTTACACCCATCAGCATGCATCGCATGCCCGGTTCGCATTTTGAGGGAAGCCCCCCCCCCCCCCCGGTTGGGTTTTAGTCGCTTGGCAACGACGGTGTCAATCAAGCCAATTCACTTAGTGAACTCGGCAACCAGGTTACCGCGTTTTTTTTCCTCTGTTTGGTTTTGGCGGTAACCGTTACGTTGGTCGCATCATGTTGTGCGGGTCGAGAATTCTCACT